TAAAGCAAAGGAAGGCTTGGTCAACTGCCTTTTCTTATCTTATATATATTATCTATTCTGTGCAGGTATTCCCATAGGATAGCACTGCAACCATTACTTAATTACTTGACTCAAATCTTGAGCAAATTCATCAAAATCCTACAGCCTTAATTACTTCAGGTAGATTTTTTATTTTCTTTAATTTCATGCACATTTCCAGATGCAACTATACTCAATGTTACTGCCACATCATTCTATTCCACTTTAATTTTTTTGTATAATAAAGTCCATCTAAACAAGAAGAGAACCATTTAATTATGAGGACATTTTGTAGTATTACTTCATCTTAATAAGGCTAATTAAGGTTTTACTTTGCATTTGCATATTGCAATAGATGGATTTTATTGGTGTTCTCTTGTAAATTTCGCTTTCCATATCAGGAGAGTGCAACAAAATGAAGGGGGATGGCCTGATGTCCATGGAGGATTGAGATTCTTCTCGTTTATAATTGGTAAGAAATCAACATTGAACAAGTTTCAATTATCTTCTCTCTTATTTCATCCTTAAATCTCAATTGTCAAATATTTCTCTTTACAATAAGGTGGAGCTTTTGACCATAGAAAATCTTTAGAACTCATCTCACTCCCAGTATCTCAATCATTCACATTTTTTAAGCAATGTACTTGACTTCATCTATTCTTACAATATGGGAAAGATACAACTGCTGTATTCCTTTTTCATTCTGTTTTCTTAACAATGAACTGATTTGCAGAGTATGCTTCAAGATCAGATGTCTCGATGGATAAATAGTAGCGTACTTGGGATCCATCATGGTTGCAGCAACAAACTTCTACCCTCCAAACAATGCCCTCTCTGGTAATGTAAGAAGGTGGTGCAACCTTCTTTTTAAGGCACTTCAATTTTCCTACTGTGCTTGACCTTCTCATCCCCGCTGTTGTCGGAGAGATTTTTTATCATTTTGTCAAGAAAATGCTAAGATTTAATTCACTTTTGTAGGACATGGATTTTCTTGGAGTTTTTCTGGTAATTTCTCTAGCCATATCAAGGACAATTTGAGGATATGTATGAAGATGGATGGATGGAGTACTGCTTTCAGGTAGCGTTATGCTCAAATCATTAATCCTTTATCGTGCAAATCTTAAAAATTTAAATTCAAATTATTAGCAATAAATGCACTTTTTGGACTATTAAGGACTGCCATTTTACTTTCTTTCCCCCTTCATTCAGGATCAGTCTTTTGCATATCTGTCCATCACTTCGATGTTGAGAAAAACAGTCTTCATGGATGCATAATTGAACTGAAAGGGTGGTATATGAAGCCAAAGCAGGGGAAAAAGTTACTGGTTAGTGGCTGCATTTTTGGATCATTCTAAAAATGAATTGATTTGCTAATTACTATGATGGTGATTGAAGAATTTGTTTTTCACGATTTATTGTTGTTGAGAGTTTCTAGCCTTGCCTAGAAAGAAGCTTTGTAATTAATCTTGACATTTCAATAGTGAAAGTTATCTAGCAGACTAAAAGTCTCGTGATTTTTTTTTGTTTTCCACATTAAAAATTTGATGTCTTGAGCTTAGTTTAAGGGTACTGTATTGTAGATGTAATATTAGGTTTTTTTGTTTTTTAATATCTCAAAAAAATATATAATATATTTAATATATTTAATATTTATTTTAATTAGCTTTTTATATTTTTTAAAATAATAAAAAAACATAAGAGCCAAAAAAATATTTTTTAGGTTGATTATTTGGCATTCAATTGCATACAGGGGGTTAGTTGCTTGTTTTATTTGTGTGCCATCCAATTGCACAAGGGGAAAAGAATATTTTTGCAGAGCCTTCTCCCAACGCACTAATATCCACACAGACCGGTTTTTGAAAGCTAGAAAGGCCCGCCTAAATCTTCATGATCCAGGCTCAAGCTTTAGTTATTATCATTAATTAATACATAATTATTTGATCATAAGCATCCACCAAGGGAATAA